GCCACAAGCCCGTGTGTGGGCGCTTGCCCAGCCAGCGGTTCCGGCCCGCCTTCCCGATCACCCGCTTGTTGTGGTCAATGTTGGACACACGGCCCACTGTGGCCACACAGGTCTCCAGCACCTAGGGGACAGAGAAGAGCTGCGGGCCTCCCTGGGGACACACGGCTGCATGCCCAGGTAAGGGACAGTATGGCTCCTCTACCTGCATATGCCTCTTGGAGGGCAGCTGCACAATGGCCGTTCCGTTCACTTTCCTCAGCAGCACCCCACAAGTCCCTGCAGCAGGCAAGAGGAGAGAAGGCAGCTGCTCTGAGCAGCAGGACAAAGTATCCCAGCCTGCAGCAAGCACATCCCCACGCCAGGAACTCCCCAAAGCCCCTGCCATCGCCCTTTGTGCAGCACTTCTTCCTGAAGACAGGACCTCAAGGCATCCCCAGGAAGGCACAGGGCAGAGCTGCCCCTCACTTCTCCAGAGGGCTGTTTTGCACCGCAAGGCAGGGAGAAGAGAGAACAGCAACTCCCTGCCACTGGCCACCCAGAGCGGTGCCCCCCTGCCCTCCTCTCCATCCGTGCCAAGCCAAAACCCAGCTACAAACGGCGGGTCCCCAGCCCCAAGACGCACCAGCTGCCCGGATGTACTGCGCTCCCTTCCCAGGGTGGCTCTCCAGGTTGCAGATCAGCGTGCCGACGGGCAGAGCCCCCAGCGGGTAGGCATCTCCTTCGTTAGCTGACACTGGAAGACAGACGCTGATGAGTTGGGCAAGGATCAGCCGACGAGCCCCTGGCGGGGCCGCCCCTGGCCCTGGTGTGCACCTGCCATCCTGCCAATGTGAGAGGAGTTCTTGATGATGTCCCCCGGCTGCATGTTCTCCGTGGCAATGATCCAGCGCTTCCGGTTGCCGCCAGCCACCAAGGCGATGTCAGCCGACCTGCACGGGGAACCCACAGTGGGTGGCGGGGGTGCTCAACACAGGCACAATCGCCCGGGCCCGGGGCCAAGCCCGCGCCCCGCACTCGCCTGCAAGGGTCGTAGCGGACGTTGAT